CCCAATCTGAGCTCAATACCGTTCCTAGGACCACCTCATCCTCCCCTCGCCATTAAAGCTCCCAACTTGGAGCAGACAAAGCAACTCCACGCTCGCTTCCTCTGTGCTCAATTCCACCACCATTTTCTCCCTCAATTCTTTTCCCCCTCAGCCCATCTCAATTCCCTCATTTCCTGCTACACAAAAAATAACCTCCCACTCGCTGCACTTAAGCTATACTACCATGCTAGAAAAATCCTCCCCACCGCCCTGGACTCCTTTACCATCCCCACCGTCCTCAAGGCCTGCGCCCTTTGTCGCAGCCATTGTTACGGTGCAGAGGTTCAGGGATTCACCATAAAGCTCGGTTTTGACTGCGATGCCTTCGTTCTCAATTCCTTGATAAGAATGTACTCATAATGCGAGGATTTGGATTCTTCCATAATGGTGTCCGATGAAATGCCTGTGAGAGATGTTGTTTCTTGGAGCACCATGATTAGGAGCTATGGGAGGAGTGGCTTGTTTCTAGAAGCGGTGGGATTGATGATAGAGATGATGTTGTTTGGGGTGAACCCAAGTGAAGTTGCTTTGATCAACATGATCAATGTTCTTGCAGATGCAGCGGAATTGGACATGGGTCGGCAGGTTCATGCTCTAATGATGAAGAAAAGCGAGTTCTGTCAGCCGGATCTAAATGTTTTCACAGCACTGATAGACATGTATGTGAAGTGTGGATGCTTAGATATGGCGAGAAAAGTATTTGACCGGATGGATAATAGGAGCATTGCGTCATGGACTGCGATGATCAATGGCTATGCTCGATTTGGAGATTTTTGCATTGCTATGGAGCTTCTTGGGAAAATGCTGCAAAATAATGTGAAACCAAATGAGATTACAGTGCTAAGCTTAGTCTTAAATTGTGGGCTTTATAAGAAAATCGGATTGGGAAAGTCGCTTCACGCTTACATGCTTAGACAGAGGTTGGAGATGCCAGTTGCATTGGTCAGTGCATTGTTAGGCATGTACAGCAAATGTGGCGATAATAAGAGTGCAAGAACTCTTTTTGATAGGATGAGTGAGAAGGATGTCATGTCATGGAGTGTTATAATCTCTGGTTACTCACAAACCAACTGCTTTGATGAGGCATTTGACTTATTTGGTAAAATGAAGTATTTTGGTGTAAATCCAAATGAAATTACGATGGTGAACCTCCTATCGTTGTGTGCTGAGGCAGGAGCGCTCGATCAAGGGAGATGGGTTCATTCTTTCGTTGAACAACAAGGGATTGAAATGGATATTGATCTTGCCACTTCTTTAGTGGATATGTATGGTAAGTGTGGAGAGATAGAGGAAGCATACAAGGTATTTAATGGCACTGGTAAAAGAGATGTTTGCATGTGGAATGCCATGTTGAATGGTCTTGCTATGAACAGCCATGGGAATGAAGCAATCAGATTTTTTTCTCAGATGGAGGTTACAAAGATTAGACCAAATGACATATCTTTTGTAGGAATATTGAAAGCTTGCATCCATACAGGATTGGTGTTAGAAGGAAAAAAATTCTTCAATCGAATGATAAATAAATATGGATTGGTTCCAAGAGTGGAGCACTATGGATGCATGGTGGATCTCCTCGGATGAGCTGGGCTTCTTAACGAAGCTTATGAGATGATAACAAGAATGCCAGTTCCACCCAATGTGGTAGTATATATGGGGTGCACTTATAGCTGCTTGCAAGGTTCATAAGAATCTGAGTTTGGGAGAGTTGGTAGCAAGTGAGATTCTTAAGTTAGATCCTCTAAATGTTGG